ACGGCTTCCGTCTGGGACCGGCAAACGACCATGCATACAGGTTACATAGTGCGGAACCTGCAACTCTCCATGCAAAACTGCATTTCTCAACACCATGACTCGTTGCATAATCGTACGTAACGTGATATATAGCAATCGCTTCCTTGTATATCACTTCGGTATCCTTCGCGCTTTCTTCCATGTCAGGAGCATCGTACAACAGCTGCATTATTTTATTAATTTTCAAGCTCGTTAAGAAAAATAACTCCGTTTTTAAATATTTATGAAAAAGGTCAGGATTATATATATATATTTATTTATTTATTTTTTTCGACACAGAAGTTCCTTACCTGCTTGTACTTTTTGATCAAGTCGGCCGCGGCATCGTTTTTTGATTCGTAGCTGGATTGTAGGATTTGCGTCATTTCTTTGCGGTAGTTTTCGTACCTATCTTTCCAATCGGTGATATACGTCTCGGGAATTGGAGTATCAAAGCATGGCAATTTCCAGATTTCTGCACAAATTGAAAAACAATCGAGTTAGCACCCCCAGCTAAATGTATCTATATACTTGGGCCTCGTTTATCGATTGAATTGGTTAGGATTCTATTGTCCAGGATAATATGCAATCACTGAAAATAGGGCAAATTGCGGCCAGTCCCCTGAGGTATGGCCAAATTACGAAAAAAAACCTCTTGTTTGGGTAATTACAGCCACCCCCTCCTTTTAAATATTTTTACATAAAATTTATGTAATTAGGTTATTTACCGAATCTAATCGTATATCTAGTTCGGTAAACTATATGAAATGTTGGCGTACCGGGATTTCAGTTCGGTTTTACGGAATTAACATCCCTAAATTTACTTCTGGAGTGGTCTTTTCGTAAGATAATACATAGTTGAGAAGTAAGGAGTGGCTGTAATTACCCAAAAGGGATTTTCGTAATTTGACCATAACTCAGGGGTGGCCGTAATTTGCCCTTGAAAATATACATCCTAAGGTATTGGGTAATATCTTCACACAATTGTATGTGTTCAAGAGAGATTGACCTTTTGTCAGCTCAGACTCATTTTTAAATGCCTTCACTCGATCGTATATTTGACCCAATATAGAGGACGAGTGACAGCTAACGTTAATTCCCTTTTCCACGTGATTTTTTTATTAGAGAAAAGCTCGCCCCTTTTCCGGAGGGGGGGGGGTCCTCCCCACGAAAACCAAAACAAAAGAGGAAAAAAAAACCCCCGGGGCGGGTTGTCAAAAGGGGGATGGGCGCAAAAACAGAGTCAGATAAAAAACTTTTTTTTTTTTTCTCCCCCCCTCCCGAATCACATCTCTTCTCCCCCATTGTGAGGATAGATGTTTTCAATCGTAAGGCCGCCCAGTAACATGATGAATTCATAATTTCATACGCGTTTTCCGTGACTCCTCCAATGCAAAACTCGCTATCAT